ATGCTGCTTGGCCTGCTGTGTTCATCCAGCCCTGCACCTTGTTGTCTTGGATTATCCAGCATCTGCAGTTCCTACTATCTCTGCATCTCCAGCCTGTTTGCTTGCTCTCTTTGTGCTTACTCATTTTGAGCCTACCTAGGTGCTCGCAGGACCACTGCCTTGCCTTGTCTCTCAGCCAGAGAGATCAGACTGACAATATTGCTGTATTGCTGTATTGCTGTGCCATTTAACACAGACTCAAAGCCAGGAAGCTTGTCATGGTACTCACCAATCTTCAGTTACATCAAAGGGAGGAGCCTTTGACCAGGGGGTCCTGGCACAGTAAGTCAAGGACAGCCTCCAATATTAGTCCAGAGGATTGGACACACTTAGTCAGCCACTTGGGGCAGTCCATCAGGATTCCCTCCAAATAACAGGTCAAATATCAGGTAGCATACCACCTATCTGGACTATTACTGCCCTACAGGGGACTGTTTCCCTTCTGGAATGAGAGAGAGGAGGTTTTAAGGGAGATGAAAGTGGGGGAGGGTGGGGGGTTGCGTGGTGCACAGCTTTTACTTTCTGTGCAGATGGGAAGGTGACCCCAAGCAAAATAACAGGTAACACAGAGGCCATGCAGGGCTAGTTGTGTATAGGATTGGAGTGAGTAATAGTAAATGTGTGTAGATGTTGCAGGTAATGAGAGTGGTAGAGCATGAGACTTGGTGGGGGATGGATACAGTAGCACAGAGAAAGTAAATATGAGATATCAGACAGAGGCTGATGGCACTTCCACAGATGGAGTGGAGAAGGTTATCGATCTTCCTACAGTGCATTTCTCCAGATTGGGCATGGAAGGTTTTAGTCATAAAGAAAGGCTGGATGGACTGGGACATTTTTTCACTGAAGCATAGAAGTTTATAAAATGATGAGGGGTGTAGATAGAGTTAATGGTACTTATCCTTTCCCTTAGATGGGGATTTCAAGATTAGGGAGCACATTTTTAAGATGAGAGGAGAGAGATTTAAAAAATACACAAGGGGCAAATGTTTTACACAGAGGGTGGTTCCCGTGTGGAATGAACTTCCTGAGGAAGTAGTGGATGTGGGTACAGTTACCACGTTTAAAAGACATTTGGATAAGTACATGAATAGGAAATGTTTGGAGGGATATGGGTCAGAGCAGGCAGTTGGGACTAGTTTAGTTTGTGATTATGTTCAGCATGGATTGGTTGGACTGAAGTGTCTGTTTCTGTGCTGTATGACTCTGTGGTTGAGATTTGCACTGACTCAGGGGACAAGCTTGGTCCAGGCTGGCATGGTCTGCTGTGTGGTCTCGACTGCCAGTCCCCACACAGCAGAGCACCAGTTCTCCCTGATCTGCAATATCCAGGGCAAATGGCAGGAACCATGTACAGCAGCTGGTAGTACTTGTCCATGTGCAAAACGGTCATATCAAGATGGCACTGGCTCCAGTGGCGTTGATCCATTCTGGGATATCCTAATTGTGTTGAGCTGCTCAGTGTACATTGAACAGTGGAATAGGAATAGAATTGTGCAAGAGGGGTGTCACAGGGGTAGGGCAAAGAGCTAATGAGGCGAGTTTGGGAAGCTACAGTGAGATATCCTGTTGGGCTTGCAGAGAGAAGCCCTCCGTAAAACTCAATGCAGC